TCCCCCCTGCCAGCCCCTCCCTGCCGCTGTCCATGGTGCTGAGCGCGGCCCCGAGCGAGCGGCGCGTCATGCGCGTGCTGGGAGAAGGGGAAGCGGGAGGGGGGCGCGCGAGTGGAGACAGTGTCCAGGCCCTGTTCTGCTCAGGTCCTGCTCCATGCTGACTGACCACAGCAGACCCCAACGTTGCAGGGTGCACGGGGGTCCTGGCCTGGTCCAGGCAAGGGTGAGTTTCCAGGACAACAGGGCTGAATGACTGTGTCCAGGTGTTCAGGTCTAATGGAGCTTCAGCCCAACTGAGTAACTCCCCTTCCCCCAGGCCCTGACTTACTGTGAGTGGAGGGAACCAGGTGCAGACAGGGGCTGGACTCAGGCCATTTCTGTGGAGGACTGTCGTTCTGTTGGGGAGGGCACAAACTAGGCCTGGGGCAAGTGAGCCTCCCCACCTTCCACACTCCAGAACAAGATGGGAGGATCTAGGGTTCCAGGCCCAGAGTTATGGCAGCACCTACCTTCCGCTCCTCTTCATCCTCCCTTTCCTTCTCCTCAGGGAAGAAAAGGTCTTCCAATTTCCCAGGCCCAAAGGGGGTGGGCTGGCCTTCTTCCAGGGCCAGTGTGGCAGAGGGCATTGCCACTGTTGTCTGCTGAGCCAGACTCTCCACCTGCAATACCAGGCACCCCGAGATGGGTAGGTAGGGCCCCAGCCATAGTCCCATAAGTACCTAGGGAACCCTAAAATATCCCTGGGTTTTATGACCCCAGAAGACATTAGAGAGTCCCTACCAGGCAGTGTGTGTGTATGTGTGTAAGCGCAGTTTCCCCTCACCAGCCGATCCTGTGCTGCACTCAGACCCTCCAGAGCTTGAGCCACAATGCTCTCTGCTAAGGACCCCGTGACTGACAGCCGCATGTCCCTGAGGGCAAGAAAGGGTAAGGATCAGTGTGCTGTCTCTGCCCAGCCCAGCCCAGCCCAGCCCCATCCAGCCTACCTGAGTCTAGTGAAGGCATCTTGCAGCAGGTGCTCTGGGAGCAGCTCTGGGAGGCCCCTTGAGCCCACCAGGACCCCCTCTAGCTGCTCCCTCCACCTGGGTCCCTGCAGCATCTGTGGGCAGAGGCTCCTTGTTGTGTCCAGTGTGGCCTGAGTGAAGTCCTGGGCAAAGGTCAGAGCATGGTGAGGGTGTGACTAGGGCCTAGACTGGATGGCTTGAGGCTCTGACCCCCACAGAAAATTAACTCAGGGAATATTAACCCAGTCAAACCTATGGGGTGGGGTCAAGCCTACACATGGAGGTGGGGCTCTGGCAAGGGTACCATCTCACCTGAATGTCCTGGCGGCAGACCTCGCCCACCTGCCCCAGGAGGCCCTCCAGCTTTTGCCGCAGCTGCCACTGATGGCTTGGGGAGCTTCCTGCCTCATATAGAATGGGGAGAATCTGGAGACCAAAGAGGAACAGGAGTTTCAAGGTGACACCTAACGAAGAGGAGAAGGGTGCTCATAATGGGAGGGTGTGCTCACACTGAGAGAGAAGTTGGCATTTTGGATGGCATCCTCGGCCTGGTGCACAGCGGCTTCACCCTGAGGCCCAGCACCACAGCCCAGCAGCTCCACAAGCTCCTGCACCGACTGGCAAAGTTCATTCACTTCCTGAGGAGCATCAAGAATCAGTCTCAGTCTGGTCCCCTTCCAGTCCCCCAAACCCTGACTGCCTCCTTCCCAGGGTCCCCAACAGGGTGTGAGGTCCTGAAGCCAATACCACCAGGCCCAGCCTATCTGTTCAAGGAGGGAGAGCAGTGCCTCCTTTGGTTCATTGCAGGGACCTTATATATACTTCCTAAGTGTACAGAATAGAAAGAAAGGAGCGGTTAGTCATGTCTGTGTTTTAGAAGCTCAGTTTGTTCACTACCCACCTGGAAAATAGCCTGAGAGGTGGGAAGAAAGGGGAGTGAGGCACCATAGAGGAAGAACTAGGGAGGGGGGCAAGGGAGAGCTAGGATGGGGGTGAAGAGGTCTATGCAGGCTCCAACGTGGGCAGGAGAGGCCCGGTTCAAACCTCTGTCCACAGTACTTCATGGGTGTGGGCACCAGGGAGACAGGGCCCAGGGTAGAGAGAAGAGTTTGTGGGAGATAATGCGATCACTTGAAAATATACAGAGTGGGAAGCCCCTGTAGGATGGTTGGGTCAAGGTGCCTGGGCTCTGGAGCTTGGGGGAGCAGTGGGATTTGGGAATGGAGAGGTGGGAACATTTCTCACAAAGGGAAGGTAGCGGAGGGAGATGAAGCCAGAAGAAAGGTCACTGGGTTGGCCACAACAGGTCAGTGAAGAGGGGAAGGGAGACCTGTAAATGGGAAGTCACATGTGGGACTACAATGGGCGGGGAATTGAGGGAAGATTTTAAACACCTCCCATCTTTAACAGGAGAGCCTAATTAAATGCTTTAAAAAGGCTGCCAGTGTGTGTGTGTGTGGGGGGGGGGAATTAAGGACACGTGTAATACCTTAATCAAGAAAGAAAGAAAAAATAAAAAGGCTTCCAGTGGTATTATTTGGGGGAACTACTTCAGGAATGATTGGTTCCTCTCCAGACCAAGGAGAGGGAATTGTCTGGAACAATGGACTTTAGACACCCAGCCCCCAGAAAGCCAGCCCTTCAGACCGATGGAGGCTCCCAGGTGCCACAGCTCTCCCCATCTCTCTGTCTTCTGTTTGTACTCAAGGTTTAGGGAGGGGACACTGACCTGCTCAGAGGGATTAGAGACCCGACCTAGTGGCTGCTGGCATGAGGTGCTGACAGGAGAGGCCTGGTCTGTGTGGTTGTTCCTCAAGAGACAGGCTTGGATCTAGGAACAAGGGATGTTGGTAAGTGGTGGGGAGGAGGGCCACCGCGGAGAGCAGAGCAGCAGGGAAGGGACCCCCCCACACCTGATGCACTGCACGTGCTGTCATTTCCGGGCGGCTTCGCTGCGCCTGGGCCACGTCGGTCAGTGGCAGAGGCATGGCCTTCAGGCTTCGGTTCTGCTCCAGAGCCTGAGCCACGTCCAGCAGGCCCAGAGCAGATGTGTGATTCCGGTCCCAGACCACAGACCTGGGCCGGGAGGGGCGGGGCTTCAGCCGGGGGCGGAGCTCCTTCAGGCCACACCCAACCAACGGACCCAGTTCATCCCCCTCCATTCAGCCCCACCCCTTAGCCCAGCAAACTCCTCCAGGCCACGCCCTCCTCCCCATTGGCCCCACCCCTCTGACCCCGCCCACCGGAGTCGGGTGTTAACTCGTAGCGCCTTGGCCAGCATCTTGGCACCCGTGTCTCCCATGGCGTTGCCGCTGATATCCAGGGCTGTCAGGTTAGGATTGGTGGCCAGGGCCCGAAGTAGAACGCTGGCGCCCAACTTCAGCCTCGACTCGGCCACAGACAGAGACTGCAGCGGCTGGGTTAAGAGAAAGCCATTTGTCACTCAGGGGTCAGCAAGGAGGGCAGGTCACAAGGTCTGAGGGAGCAGGAGTGGGGGGGGGGGGGGAACAGGGGGCCCTTGCCTGGG